GGGGGTGGCCAGGCTGGGCCAGATGGTGTGTGCTAAGCCTTATCTGTTGGGAGTGGGGAGGCGGGCCGGGGCATGGAGGTCCTCTTTCACAAAGCCTGCTCTGTCTCCCTGGCAGCTGGGCCTCAGGAATCGGCTTTGCTGCCTTCCTGCCTCACCAAAAACCTCCCATCCATAACCACAGAAGCCCCACACACTGGGACCCCCAGCCCTCCCACTTTAGCTAGGAGCAAGCCCAGGTCAGGGATGCCCAGGTGGGGCCAAGCAGGGGTCACCAGGACAGCAGTTCCAAGAGGGGGGGCCAGGGAGGGAACAATGGGGCCCGGCCTGTGGCACCTAGGCTGTGGCTGTTGGGCCAGAGCCCTGTTTGGGGAGGCGTTAGCAGGATGGATTCAGGCCACATCTGAGGCGGCTCTCGTCGGGGAAGCAGTCGCTGCGTGGAGGCGTGGGGAGCCTCCCGGCCTGGCGCAGCCTTGTCCTGGCCAGCCCACCCTGGGGTCTGGCCCATCTGCTCTGGCCTTCTGGGCTGTGTGGCCTCAGCCCTGAGCACTATGCGGCTGCGTCCAGGCCTCAGCCACTTCTGGGGCTCAGACCCCCAGAGCCATCAGTGCCCCTGAGCTGCTGATCTTCTTGAAGCGGTTGGCAGCGCTGACAGCAATGAAGTTTCTCTGGGGGGTGAGGGAGAGGAGTCCCAGTCAGCATCAGGGCAGGGCAGAAGTTGTGTCTCTTAAGGTGCCCTTCATTCCTGGAGGGCCAGGCGCCAGAAATGAATTTGGGGCAGTTTGGTGCACTGCCCAAAATAGCCACAGGAGGCGCCATGGCCTTGCATCTTCCGAGATTCTTCCATTCAACAGATTTGTTAGCCAGACCTGAGTACTGTTCTGGCTCAAGGCATTCCAATGGTTTTGCGCCAAGTAAAAGATAAACCCCTCGCCATGGCTAACGAGTCCCTCCACACCCTGCTTCCCGCTCTTCTCCCACCTTATCTCCCCCTCCACCTGGCTCATTCCATTCTATCCGTACTGGTTTCCTACCAATTTCTCACCCTTGCCAACCATACTTCTACCTCAGGTCCTTTGCACTGGCTGTTCCCTCTGCCTGGGACACTCTTCCCCCAGTAGTGCGCTGCTCACCCTCACCTCCTTCAGGTCTTTTTACACATGCTCCCTCCCTGACCACCTATTTCAACAGAAGTGCAGCCTTTCCTCTGGCACTCCTGACATCCCTATTTTTTTTCTAGAGCCCTTCCTTAGCCCCTTTTACTATCTCCCACCCCCTACCAAAAGTCAGTCCCCAAAGACTGAAATGCTTGCCTCTTTTATCCACTGGTGTGTCCCCAGTGCCTAGGAGTAGTAGAGGCTCAATAAATATTTGTAAAATGAAGGGAGGAAGCCTGTGATGAGGTCAGAGAGCTTTTCCTGAGCCCAAGCCCCAGATGAACGCCCCTCCTTAGGGTGGAGGGTCAGGAGCCAGCCCAGGACAAAGAGAAAAGTCAACGCTGTTTTCCAGACAAGGCCAGGCCTGGTCAACAGACCCTGCCAAAGCAGGGCTGGTGGGGCCTGGGATCTGGTGCCAAGGGCTCTTCCCGCCTTGCGGTCCCTCCCTTGTGCCCCTCCCCTTGGCCCCACAGCCCAGCGGTACCTTCCAGCGCCTTTTCATGAGGTATCTCTTAAGCAAGATCTGGGACTTGAGGCGTCGATTACAGCGCTTGGCTTTCTCTGCCAGGTTGTTGAGCCAGGGGTGGTCAAGGCACTGGGCAGCGCTCATGCGGGCCCTGTGGGGAGGGGGCAGCGTGGCAAGAATGGGTGGCATGCCCGTGAGGCACCGGAGCCTACCCGGCCTGCCAGCCCAGTTCCCACCCTGCCTGCACACGCATGCACTGGGCTCTCACACACAGGGTTCACATCCTATAGTGAGCCTCACCCCTGGTCCTTGACAATGAGATGGGAGACAAAGTCTTTGGCCTCATCTGACACAGCCTCGAAGGTCTCCTCGTCAAAGTACCAGTTGCCAGATAGAACATTGTTTAGGGTCTCTGTGTCATCATCTCCCAGGAAGGGCGAGAGGCCACTTAGCCTGGAGGGAGGGAATGGCAGGGGACAGGGAGGTGAGATTAGAGATGCTGAGTCACCTTTGGGGGTTTGGGGGGTGGGGGCAGATCCTAGGAGGCAGCACTATGTGCTGAAAAGACCCCCAGCCTCTCGAGTGGGACAGACCTGAGTTTGAATCTGGCTGGGTGACCTTGGGCAAGTCACTTCCCCTCTCTGAGCCTCACTCTTCTCATCTGTAAAATGGGCATAATCATCCCAGCTTCCCAGGATTACAGTAAAGAAGAGGAATGGTGAGTGCACAAAAAATGTCCACTACCCCTCTGCCCCGACCCTGGGTCATCAGAGCTCTGTCCAGAGCTCTGGGCTGGGATGCTATGCCTTTAGGGGCTTTGGTTTCTCCATCTATAAAATGGGAATAAAGTTCCCCTTTCCTGGTTCTCCCTAGCACTCCCAACCGCCAACAAACCCCTGACTGAGCAAGTGGGGTGGCGGGACCACCTCACCAGGACTCGAAGGCCAATCTTGGCCTCAGCTGCCCACCCAGGTGCCCCAACCCCAGGAACACCATGCTCCCTTGGGGCTCACAGCATGTAGGTGATGACCCCCATACTCCACATGTCTGTCTTATCGGAGATTTGGTCGTAATTCACCACCTCAGGTGACAGGAACTCCGGGGTCCCAAAATTCACCTTCAGCTTCTCATTGGGGTTATACCTGGGGTGGGGGTGGGGAGGAACACCAAGAGCTCAGAACACAGCTCCCAGCCGATTCCCAGGAACCCTCCACTCCGCCCCTGCCCCTGCCCCCCTCGGAGGCCTGCCCTGCTCCCCTCACCCCCAGGTGGTACCTCCGTGCCAGGCCAAAGTCAATGATCTTCACCAAGTGGCCAGTGGTGTTGACGCACAGGATGTTCTCTGGCTAAGGAGAAGGGGTGGCCTGGATTGGCTTCTGTCCCTGCTCACCCTCCCTCCCAATCCAGGTCCCTGCAAGTCCCAGGCTCCCTGGGCCAGAGGCCCGGACTGCCAGAACGGGCAGCCCATCTGAGACCCTCAGACCGCCTTGCTCCAGGCACAGATGAGGATTCTTGAGGGCCCGAGAGCAACTCAGACGAGGCCTCGTAGCACAAGGCTTCTGGGTGGATTCAGGTGGGATTTCCCTTCATTTAAGGCCATGAAAGGACAACAATGTTATAGCATTTCCAAGGCTGGAGAAACAGGAAGCCTGCAGAGGACAGCTGCACCCTGGGTGAGAGGCCAGGTCAGGGCCGTCCCCAGGTCCACAGGGCTCCAGAGACCCGAGAAAGAAAACACCAGGTCGGGGCTCCCAGAAGAAGCCTCTTGCGGACAGAGGGGCTTCACGCTGCTCCTGGGATGCTCTAAGATAGGCTACTCTTGTCTCCCCAGTTAGGAATGATGGCAACACCTACAAAACGTCAGGACCTGTGTCAGCCACTTTCCATTTTCCATGTGTTAACTCATCGCCCCTCCCAACAGCTCTATGAGGCAGAGACTGTCATTTCTCTCAACTCAACATTTCAACTGCCATTTCACAGTTGAGAAAACTGAGGCTGACCCAGAAATGACTTGGCCACAGTCACCCCTGAGCAAGTCACCCCCTGGAGCCAGGACTTGGCTTCAAGACTGTCTGACTCTAGCACTGGTCTCCTGACGTCACTCTGTCTGCCACTAGCCAACAAGGACCCATAGTGCACTCTACAGAGTGGGGGTTGGAGCAGACAGGACGCTTGTGGGTTGGCTTTTCTAGGGCAAGGACCTTCTTCTCCCAGCCGCCTTGCTCCCCACCTTCAGTGTCTAACAAAAACACTGGTGCTCAGGAAAGGCTCCCAGAATTCTGCGCTCCAAGCACAGGTGACTGTGTGAATGAAGTTACTGAGAGGCTAGGCCCTTCCCGTTCTGGGCCTCCATCTCCTCTTCTTATAGTAACACACGGACACAGGTCGAATCTGAAGTTACAGGGCAGAAACATTTTAAGTAGTTAACAATGGTTCAAAGGCGGGAGATTCTGCTCAAAAACCCTGATATCCTGATTGTCAACACCTCCTGAAACAGCAGGAGCGCTGGCCACATGGCCACACACTGCTTGAGTGAGTTGCAGCTGACCTCTGTGTCAGGCAGGCGGAGAAGTCCTCCAGTTCCCCCAGGGCCTAACCGGCCCTTTAACACTATTTTGTTATTCATTGGGGCTCGGTAGGCATTTGATTGGAGGTCCCTAACGACATGCTTCCTGAAGGCCCCTTTCCAACGGATGCATTCACTCAGAGTGGGACACTAATGGTTTTAATATAGCTGACCTGGGGTCCCACTGAACCAGGGAAAGAAAAGAAAGGTCCCAGGCTACAATCACTTGGGGGAAACAAGACAGACTCGGATCTCCTTCTGGAGGACACCAGACTTCCTGAGGGGCCCTGGCCTGGGAAATGGTTCACCCAGCTTACTTGACTGTGAAGCCCTTTTTTGATGAAAAACGTATTGCTATCTTGAAAAACCCACATTTTAGGATACAGAGGCTTAAGGTTGAGCTTCTTCCCAGGGCACTGCATTTTCACTGGGGACCCTGTTCTACCCCCAGAGAAGTTGGCTTTCCCTGGGGAATGGCAGATCTCTAATGCCATGGGGCTGTCTAGAAACTCAGGGGGCACCCTTACTCTTTTTTTTCCCTTCCCCTTCTCTACCCCTACCCAAACCATCAGCAATCAGAATGGATCTAGTTTCAGAATGCATCCATGGTCTGGCCACTTCCCATCCCTCCACTGCCCCTGGTTCCAGCCCCACCACCTCTCTCCTGGCTTATTACAACAGTCCCTTAAATTCCCTCTGCCACATTGGCCCCACTGAAACTTCCCTCCTTATGTCCTTGTTTCCTCCCTTGTCAGTGGGGGAGATACTAGCACACCTGACCCAAGTGGGTTATTGGGAGGGGTGCTCACGCTGAGTGGTGGCTGACCCCTGGTGAGCATGGGATGAGTGTAGCCAGCAGCAGCAACAGCTCCCTGGCCTGCTTCAGACCTCAGATGCTCTGGCCTTTGCCCACTTCTCCAATTTCACCTTGTATGGCTCCTCATTACTCTCACGCACTTTTCCATAATGCTTTTAATGGTTTAAAAGGGTCTATTTATTTGGTCAGTCTTTTATGGATGTCTGTTTCCCCCACTAACCTGCAGGCTCCATGGGATGGGGTGTGTCCTTCCTCATCTCTATGGTACTACCTCTGCCTGCCGCAGTGCACAGTAGCACACAAGCTGGTATCAATTCAACTAATGCAAGAACGGTCAACCTCGCTGATGGGCGCTAACCCACCTCAGTGTGCATATCTCATCTCCACTAGCCTTGCCACTCATCCCACAAACATCAGCACCTGCCATGGACAGGGCTAGCCAGCACTCATGCGGCTCCTGCCTGCTCCACACATGGCCCCCATACCTAAACTCCAGAGCTCCAGGTTCTACCAATTGATCCTAAAAGCTATTGTGTGTGCAGCTGGTTAGCTCAGGTGGTTAGAGCGCAGTGCTCATAACACCAACGTTGCCGGTTCGATCCCTGCATGGGCCACTGTGCTGCGCCCTCCACAACTAGATTGAAATGACTACTTGACTTGGAGCTGATGGGTCCTGGAAAAACATACTGCTCCCCAATAAAAAAAAATCTTTATAAATAAATAAAGTAAAAGCAAGCTATTGCTCCCCCTAACCTGCTATGTGCAAGGAACCAAGCAAGGTCAGAAGAGGGATATACATGTTCTTTCACTAAACATTTTCGTGAGCACCTACCACGTGTGTATGTTTCTCTGAATCTCCTTCTAGAACGTAAGCTTCATGAGGGCAGGCGTTTTTATCTACTTTGTTCACCCCTGGATCTCCACCACCTAGAACATTGCCTGGCATGTAGTAGGCCCTCAACAAATAATTGTGGAATAAATAAACACTCATGGTGCCTCTCAGAGCCCAGCACAAAGGGAGGCAGGCACCTCTGCAAAACTTATTAGAAAGTCCTGTGTGGGAGGCACTGAGGTTGGGGTTCCCAGGGCTGCAAAAGACCCTTTCAACAAGTGCTTAGTAGGAAAACAAAGCTCCTGAAGGCTAGGATCAAATATTTGTTTTGTTTTGTTCCCTGTTTTATCCGCGATTCCTGGTACTTAGTAAGTGCTTCATAAACCCTTTTTGAATCTGCAGATGGCAGGGTGGATGGAGGGAAAGAAGGAGGGATGGGGGAGGATGGAAGAAATTGCAAGTGGTCGGATTCTGCTCCTGTCCCCCCACAGAGGGCCCAGGCCCAGTACCTTGAGGTCCAGGTGCAGCACTCTCATCTTGTGCATGAAGAGGATCCCGTCGCAAATCTGCCTGACAAACACCATGGTGTCCACCTCCGTCAGCTGATAGTCCTCATCCACAATCCTCTCGAAGAGCTCACCGCCCTCGACGCTGTGTGCACAGACCCCTCTACAGGCTGCTTCTGGGCCTCTGGCACCCCCACCCGGGCCCCCTGCCCCCCAGTGCTGACACTCACTACTCCATGAACAGGATCATGTCATGTGGGGTCTCGATGGCCGCATACAGCTGGATCAGATTGCGGTGGTTCAGCTGGTTCATAACCTCGATCTCAAGCATCACCATTTCCTGGGGGGAACAGGGAAGTCAGGGGTACCATCAGAGCATCGTCACTCCCTGACCTCCACGTGCCATACCTGCGCCCTTGACCAGACCTTGCCTGAAGCACCGCCCAGCCTCCTCCTCCTTGCTGGCCTCCTTGCCTCCCGTCTCTCCCTGCCCCCAAGCCTCACCAGCCCCAGTCATTCCTGCGCCATTTCTTTGCTGTTCTTTCCCTCCTCCTTCTGACTGAATACTGGGATGCCCGGGGCCCAGTCCCCCCTGCTCATCACCCCCTCCCTTACACTCTCTTCCTGGGCATTCTCCTTAAGCCCCTTGACTTGATTTTTCATCCAAGTGTAATTCATCTCCAAATACACATCTCCACCTCTGAGCCCTCCCTTGAACTCCAGGCACCCATATCTCCCACTGCCCAACTGCTATTTCCCTTGGATGTCTAATAGGTATCTCAAATCTCTTATGTCCAGAATTAAACCTTTGATACTGCCCCTTCCCCACAATGGAGTTGCCCACAGCTTGCCCATCAGCAAAAGGACATCCTTCTGCACCCAGATGTGCAGGACTGGAAGTTGGGAGCTATCCCAGATTCCTCTCTTATTCTTGCTACCTCATATCCCACGTGCAATGTGGGTTTACTGATGAGCAAATCCTTTCACTCTATATTCAAGCTAGACTACAAACTCCATAATTTCTCACCTTCGCCACCGCTGCCTTCCTAGCCTACGCAGCCACTATTTGTCACGTCCAGAAAATTTGCAAGCCAGGTGTCATATTGGTAGCTTGAAATCAGCTACGGCAGAAATATTTATACCATGGAAACCAGCGAATGCTACAAATCAGGCCTCTCCCCGAACTGTCCCCCCAGAGCATTGTGTCAACACCCGTATTGCTCCATTTCTTCCGTGATTCCATTCCTTCACTCATATCTCACCTTACGTACGTTCCTCAGAGAGGCCTAACCTCACCCCACTATCTGAACGGCCCCCATCAGTCCCCCACTCCCTGTCCCTTACCTGCCTTTGTTTTCCTCCTAGCACCATGCTTTTTGTTTTGTTGTTTTTGAGTTGCCTGTTTCTCTTCTCTAGCATGTCAGCCCATGAGGACCGGGACTTTTTGAGTTCCCTGCCATTTCCCCAGCACACGCCACGGTGAATGGCATAGAAAAATTGCTTAATAATTAATTAATCAATAGATGCCTCCAATTAATTTACACAGCACATGTGGACGGAGCATCTACACTGAGCCAGGTCCATGATAGAAGCCTGAGGACTCACAGTCAATAATATCGATCCAGGCCCGGGAAGTAGAAGAGGCAGAGAAAGACAGAGTCACGTAGAAAATACATGCTTTCCAAATGTGCTTAGAGCTATGATGAGGACTTCAGGGCTACAGCAGCCTGGAGCTGCTTCTCATATGGTCTAGGCTCCAGGCCTCTGCATGTGCTGTGGTCTCTACTCAGAATGCCCATAAGCTCACTTCGTAGCTCCCTCTGCCTCAACTCAAGGGTCCCCAGCAGGTACCTGCTATTTCCCGCACTCAGGCCCTTCCTTCCACAGTCCCCTCTGCTTGAAACTCTCTTCCCTGCCTTCTCCACTGGAAAATAGCTCCTCCTCCTTCAGAGCCTTCATGCAGGAGATGGCCAGTCTAGGAAGCTTCCCTGACCCCATGGGCTGAGACAGGAACATGCCCCCTCCTTACTACCCCCACGCTAGCTTTTCTGAGTTACAGCTCACCACACCATGTGGGTAGGTTGTCACACACCAAACTCCTCACACACCCAACTCCCTCACTCCATGTGAGGCTGGCTTGCTTGCCTGCCTTCCTTCCTTCCTTCCTTCCTTCCTTCCTTCCTTCCTTCCTTCCTTCCCTCCCTCCCTCCCTCCCTCCCTCCCTCTCTCTTTCTCTCTCTCTCTTTCTTTCACAAGCCCTGCTCTAGCCTCCTCTGAACCAGGCCTGGGCTGGGCGCTGGAGGCAGAGCTCTAGACCAGCCCTGTTTATCTTGGTGCTCCCTGAGGGTGGGGACCACATTCACTTCACTTCAGAACCTCCAGGGCCCAGAGCCTTCACTCATCAGTGTTTGTTGAATTGAACCAAACAGAGGGCACGGATATCCTGTTCTTGGAAGGGAAAGTCCCCAGGATAAGTTCACTAACTAAGGTGTCTGGTTCATGGTTAGGAACATCAGGCCCCTGGGGCAGGGCTGTCTGTCTGTCTGTCTATCTGGTGCAGACTCGTGGGTAGAGGGAGGTGAGAGGCCCCCACTGCAAGGATCTCCTCCCCCTCTGCATAACCAACCCCCACCCCCACTACCTTGTCTTTGGGTGTCTGTTTCTTGATGACCTTAGCTGCCAACTTGAGGCCTGTGGCTTTCTCTGTGCAGGTACAGACAGCGCCAAACTTGCCACTGGAAAGAGAAGAGGCTAGGAGTGAGGGAGTTCCCAGGAGCACACGGCTGGGGGGGTGGGGGGCGTGCTCTCTTCCCATCTAGACCCCCCTGTGAGACGAGGGTGCTCTTCTCAGCCAGGCCTGACTGCCTCTTGAAGCTCTATTGCAGGGACAATGGCTGAACCACACAAACCATGGGCACAGGAAGGGCAGATTCATCCGAAGGGTGACTCCTGATGTGACAACTGACAGGCTTGTGGCAAGCAGGAGCCCTGGGGCTCTGGGCATTTTGCAAAGCAGGAATCACTTTGAAGGGGTTAGTGTGGTGTCTGAAACGGAGACAGACTGGGAAATACTGTGTGCTTCCAATGAGGAAGAGTACATAACCGATGGTGTGTCTATGAGTGACAGTGACACGATTGTACATCAGCCATGTGACAGTTTGCCTATGACAGGTGTGGCCACTAGTAGCAATTGTGTCCATGTGGGCCATGTCTAATGGGGTGTGGCTGAGCCTTGCACGGGGAAGATGTGAGGCCCCAGGGGGTTCCATGATCTCTTGCCGGCGGGCTCGGGGTCCCAGCTCTCACCCGCCCAGTGTCTCCTTGGAGTTCATGCTGAATTGACTGTTGACATTCCCGGTCCTCAGTTCCACGATGCGGTGGGGGAAGGGAGCGGGGGGCGGAGGGCAATCATCTGGGGAAGCACAGCAGAGCCACCACAGTCAGAGCCAAGAGCTTCTGCGGCTCCACCCTGGCACAACTCCCTGCTGCCTGGCCTGGACCCACCCAGGGAAGTTCACTGAGTGATACCTGGGGGACAGTTGGCTCCAAGACAGGGGCTAGGGGACCCGTTTCCAATTTCAGCTCTGCCACCACCAACACACACAATGGCCTTGGGAGGCCTCTGCCTCTGACAGAGGGAGCTCAGCTTCTCCTGGCACAACGGGGAAGATTGATTGGACTTCTCAGACCCTCCCACATTATAAGGTATGATGGCCCCAAGCTATCTGCATTTCCATTAAAGGGGAAAAAAAGGCAACTGTAACGGTGGAGCGCCAGATAGGGGTTACTATGTCTGATGGGGTAGGTGATGGAAACTGCCTACCATCTCCTCTAATAACACCACAGCGGGCTGGACCTGTGAAATGGGTGTCCAACCTGGGCATGGCCCAGGGACAGGAGGTGGGCGGGGAGGAGGCTTGACGGCGAAGTTTGATAGGGAAAGGCTGCCACCTAGTGACAACCACGGGGAACAGCTGGCCCTGGCCGCCTACAGGCTGAATCATCGGGAATGGAAACCTCTTTATAAATAGCAAGAGGCGGCAGGGAAGCCGGGCTGATGATAAATCAGATGGCCCTTGGAGGTTGTTCAGGTCCTGTCACCCTGAGGATGTGATTTCTGGGCTGGGCGGGGCGGGCCAGAGGTCTCTGCGGCTGCTCGGGAGAGGAGGCAGGGCTTTTGGCTGCCGCCCAGCCGCCAGGCCCTCCCACCCTGTCTGGGTGGCACTGTGCCGCTCACCAGGCAGGCTGGCGGGTCTCCCAGGGCACCTCAGCCTGGAGAGGGGGTTGTCAGGACACTCTGGGCTCTCCTGACCCTATCTCACCCCACCCCCAGCCCTGCCGCATCCCTGCCCAAGCCCTTTCCCTATTCACCTACTCGCCAAGCTCACGCATGCTCAGTGGCTCCCTGCAGCCCGCTGCCGAATAAACCACTGGCTCCTTGTCTGATTGTCAGTTAAAGCCATTCCACAACGCTGCCCCATCTCACGTGCCCAGCTTGCTTGGTCGCTGCTCCCACACACAGACACCTGTGCTCCTCAACTCATGAATCCTCCATAGCTCCCATGACCCTCCTCACCCCGTCCAGGATGTAGTTTAATACCGAGGCCTGGCATTTGAGCCCTTCTACAAACTGACTTCAAAGTCCACTATCCAGAGAGAGTGGATGTTGCTCCAGTAACCTGCCTGACTTTTTTTTAAAGCCCCATGTTAGCCAAAGTAGGAGAAAAGTCAAAAGTGAGTTCTGGAGCCTGGCTGTCCCGACAGGTTCAAACCCTGCCCTATCTATAGATTTTGGGGACACTCACTCCATTTCATTTTTCTGGGCCTCAGTTTCCCCACCCATCAATAGGGACTAGGAACTCGTATTTCCTGGAGTTGTGTGACACTTGGATGCATCAGCCTGGGTGCGGCATGGCTCAGGGCAGCCCAGTCCTCTAAACTGGGAGACTTGGGGAGCCCACTTCCCTCCTCCCCTCAGCCTGGGCAGCCCCAGCCCCCTTACCCCCACCCACCCCTGGCCTACCCAAAATCTGGAAGCAGTCCTCCTCCCTGGCTTTGAGACAGAGGGCCTGCCCAACCTCCGATGTCTCCGAGGGCACAGCCTGGAACTCGATCCCCCTCGAGGTGTCCCCTTGCACCTTAGCCTGGCCAGCCTGGCCCGAAGCCTTCTCTTCTGCTTCCTTCTGGCTGCCTTCCAGAATGTTCTTCCCTCCTTCTGTTGCCTTGGTTTGCCCGGGATCCACGGGGCTAGGGGTCACAGGCACCCCTTCAAAGATGAGCTCCGATGCCTCATTTGGGGGCTCCTGGGCCAGCAGCTTCTCGGGGCTAGAAGGTGAGAACACAGAGGTGACGCCCTTCGCAGCCACAGCCTTGCTCTGGCCTTCACCAGCTGGTCTCGATGCTTGCAGAGCCTCATCTGCAATCTGGAGCTAATACGACTCTGCCCCCCACCCCAAGTGCATGGGGTAATGCATACAAATTCACTTTATACAAAATCAAGGGATGTTAATAATACCACAAATGTCTGAGGTCATTATGTTGACTATCAACACACTACTAGATCATTAAAACTATTAATAGGATCATTGATATGGTTAATCATTATGGATATAATTAGGGAGATTCTGTAACTCTTGATTCATAAAAACTGTGTCAATGCAATTCATATATAATTCAAATTAATATGGTAAGCGTTATTGTGGTTTCCAATATATCATTAATGACTTCATTAATATGATTAACATTCAGGTAAGTATAATTGATTGCATCATAACACTGGTGCTTTATTATAAAAAAAAGTATTAGTAATTTATGAAAGTATTAGTAAGGATCTACCAATCTGGTTTTCAGCTATCTTTCCATGTTATACCAATAATTATAAATATTAAGAAGAGGGGTTATTCTTTCCTTCTGACATCTCGGCCCCACCGTTGGCTAGACCCAAGTTCATGGGATAAAGGGAACTCTGTACTCCAGGTGCCTAGAAAAGAGGAGTTCCGCCTCGGCGGTCTCTGAGGACCTCTCCTGCCTGACATTCCAGACTTCTATGAACTATCACAAAGTCCTGGTTTCTGCCAAGGATAAGGAGGTAGGGCCAATGCCTACCCAGGACAGAGGGAGCTGAATGTCAGAACTACCCAATGCAGCATTGAATGTAAAGACAGCAATTCTCACTACAGAAGAGCTCATCATGATCCCTGAGAACAGAGCCCAGGACCCCTCCCCACTCTCAGACAGGAGGCATTTACCTGGAGATGACGGCTGGGCAGCTGGGACTGTGCATAAAGGCAGGGGAGCCCCTCCTGGCCTCTTCTTGGCCCTCTGCTGCCTTCTTTTGCGCCTTGGGCTCTCCGAGTTCCTGGCTGCCTGAGATCCCCTGCTCAGCGTTGGGCTCCTTGAAACTGGCCTCTGCTGTTGCGGTCTCCTGGGGCAGAGCTGCCTGCTGCCCGGCACTGCCCTCCGCAGGCCCCCCGCCCAAGTCGCCTTCCCCCTCCGGACCCTGGCTGCTAGTTGAGGGTTGGGCCAGGGCACCATCCCCTTTCTCTGGGGCAGGGACCTTGGCACCTTTCTTCAGGGTGGGTGGTCTAGATTCTTTCTTTGAGTCTGGGGGGCCAAGTTCTTTCTTTGGGCCTGCGGGGCCAGGTTCTTTTTTGGGGTCTGGGGGGCCAGGGTCTTTCTTTGGTTCTAGGGGGGCAGGTTCTTTCTTTGGGTCTGGGAGGTCAGATTCTTTTTCTGCGCCTGGGGGAACAGATTCTTTCTTTGCATCTGGGGGGCCAGGTTCTTTCTTTGGCTCTAGGGGGGCAGGTTCTTTCTTTGGGCCTGCGGGGCCAGGTTCTTTCTTTGGTTCTGGGGG